CTCCGTCGACGTTCCAGTACCAACCTCAAGGTCTATTCAAGTCTCTTCCATTGCAATGCAGTTGATTTCCCAGCTGTGTTCAGTGACACCATGCTCGGTAACGTGGTCATCAAAATCATCATGGTCTTCACTGTCAGCGCCACCAGGTGGACGAACAGCATTCAACGTAACGTCATGTGCACACATCCGGTGTAATCACACATCCAATCATTCGGCACACCACCTGGACAATAATCACCTCAAACCGAACGAGACGTGATCGACAAGTCATCGGGACATGACGGGCACCCTGACACACACCCCATCCAGCCGCACGCCACGGGCAGCATCAGTGACAGTCCAATATGTGCGAGACTGTGCGGGATTACCGGCAATTCTGGGTCCGAGGCCTTCGAGAGATTTACACTTCCCGACGTTGAGGACTGAGGATTATGGAAGACTCGATGACATTATACCATGCGCCCACGGCACGATTGCGGCCAGTAGCGGTACTGTTTCCATTACCTGAGTTTTTCTGCGGCTGTGGCACCTCGGACCCACTAGCGCTCCACATCTCCTACCATCCCACTGTTATAATACGATAGCTGTGCGCGTCTCTTGTTTACCGAGCCGCCCACACTTGAACGAAGGATTGCAAAAAAACGAAGGATTGCAAAAACGAAGGATTGCAAAACGAAGGATTGCAACAAAAACGAAGGATTGCAAAAAAACCCTTGAACGAAGGATTGCGAAAAAAACCCTTGAACGAAGGTTTTTTTTTGCAATCCTTCGTTCACACATGCGACCACCACCAACCACTTGTACATGATTGGATGGAGCGCCCTTTTGGGGGGGCAGGCACCGCCGCCCCGCTTGTCTCGAACGAGGGCGCTTTGATGCAGAAGTGGCAAGATGTGATGACCGAAGGATTGCAAAAAAACGAAGGATTGCAAAAACACGAAGGTTTTTTGCAATCCTTCGTTCAAGGTTTTTTTTTTTTGCATTCCTTGGTTTTTTTTGCAATCCTTAGTTTTTTTTTGCAATCCTTCGTTTTTTTGCAATCCTTCGAGCAGACTCTGCGAGGCACTGTGGAAGAAGAAGAGGCCACCGTAAAGGGGGTCCGGTACAGCCCCAGCCAGGAGGGTCTTCGTCTTGAAGAGAGTCCCCGCGTCTCCTCGTCCTCCTCCCCCTCCTCCCTCCTCCCATCCCCCCCCTCACTTTGGCACCCCCCTCACTTTGGCACTTTGCGAGGCACTGTGGAAGAGTAAGAAGAGGCCACCGTAAAGGGGGGTCCGGTACAGCCCCAGAGGGCACGCCAGCCTCCAAGCACCAGCCAGGAGGGCCTCCAGAGGCCTCGAAGCCAGCTCGCAAGAACACCCAGAGATGTCGGATCCGGCGGACGAAGTCGAACGAGAAAGATGAAGCGAAGAAAGATATCAACACATGTAAATTATAGTTCCTTAGAAGATCTAAGAGAAGAGCCCCCAGGAGGGCCCCCTGGATGCGTCCAAGACCGCTCAAGCGGGCTCTAAGAGGTTGGTCAGACGGCACAAGGTGGCTTCAGCGAGCCTTCAAGAGAGCCCACGACGCCTCCAATATATTGGAGCCGCATGCCAAGCAGCACCCTGCTTGCCTCCAGAGTGCCCTGGGTTTCTTCGGTTTCGATGGTTTTGCTATGGGAAGCGTGACGTTCCCACACCAAAACCAGTGGACATCCTTGGGTCTCAGGGTTGGGTTTCTTGTGGAAGGTTTCTTGTGGTCGAGCCCTTACTGAGTCCCAAGGTGGCAGGAGAGGGCCCAATATTGTCATAAGAAGCTCCAGGAGACCTTCAATAGGCGAATCTATATTATATATATATGTGTATGCCCGAGACGGCCAGCATAATATAATTCTTTTGGTTTCTGAATGTTTCTAGCTCCTTCGGGAGTTCGACTCGACATGACCTGAAGAGGGCTTCAGAAGGTTCCGGGATAGTCCCAAAGGGCTCCAACAACGGGCCAAATTAGCCCGAGATGGTTCCAAGAGGCCTCCAAGACATTCCAGATTGCGTCCAGAGGCGTCCGGAAGTCTCCCGTGCGAAGAGGTGTTTTTTTTGCGGACTGAGTGGCGGGCAGCGGACGACCAGACCACAGCCAGGGCCCTCGGGCCAGCGGGATGAGCAGGCAGCGGGGAGGACCCCAGGCGTGGTTTCTGGGGCTCTGAGGAAGGAGTAGATACGAGAAGTGCGTAGAAACAATTCTTGCAGACCACGATGCAGGGATCTCACATGCCGTACCCGTTGGGGCGGCGGATCGCTTCGCTTAGTCCGCCGGCCCACATCATGTCACCGCTGCCGGTTGGTTCTGTTGAGAGGTGCCACGGGTGAGGGAAAGAGGCCAAGAGGTGTCGTAGAGGTGCACGAGGAATCGTTTCTCAATGCAGTAGATAGTCGCACAGACAGGAGTCCGCAGCCCAGGGGCCCTGCAAGGGTGACCAGCCGATAAATCTTGAGGGCGAGATCTCGTTGCCGCGCTTTGGTGGCCTGACGTGCAAGCTGGGTGGCCTCGACGATACCTCGGGCTTCGGTGATACCGCGCATCCGAGCTGAGTGGCAGTAGTGCTCCCTCTTGCAGCCCCTCGGGGTCATCTTGGGGCCCTCTGAATCTCGCAGGGAGCGGAAAGGCGAGACAATCCAAGTCATTCAACACATAGTATTTTGAGTGATCTTGGTTTGGTATAGGCCTTTTTGGGGGCTGCCTCGGACCATCTTTGACCACCTCGGGACTGTCGCGGGGCCTCTTGTGGTTGTATTGGGGGGATAGTGGGGTTGTTTTGGGCCCATTTTGACGTAATTGCGGTTTTGAGGATTTGGGTGTCTTGGGGCTTTTTAGGGAGTTGTGTTGGAGCTTTTTGGGCCGCCTCGGGGCGATCTTGGGGCTTTCATTGTGGCATCTTGGGGTTGTTTTGAGGCCATGTTGGTGCCTGCTTGGAGATTTGGTTGAAGGCCACTTTGGCTCAAGGAGATTTGGTTGAAGTTTTCCTTTGAAGCTGCAAGCTGCACATCTCTCAATGGCTATCAGTATGTTCTTGCTCTCGAATGTGTCCGGCATGTCGGCGATCTTCGTTTTGATCAGCGGCGCGGGGGCCACACCCACGTCGGATCTTACCAACATGGTTCACCGGGTTCGGACTCCTGCAGGTGGTCAATGGGCAGTATCGTCTGTGTAGTCAATACATGACGTTATTATGGCGTAGTCAGGTTTTGTTGGCATTGCGAAAATGCTCAAGCCTCCTCTGGTGTAGACAGTGAACAGTGCTGCGAATATAGGAGACTTCGTTCTGCATTCAAGTGCTATGAATGGCAACACACCGACGCACATCACATACTCCTTCTTCTATGGGTTCGAGAGCCAGGTGGTGGTGGGTCAGCTGGACGTGGTACAGCATCAGAACGGAATCGTTTCAGTCGAAGGCTTTGCAGGCGAGGACGAGAACAGTTTTCAATATGTGGGTGTAGTCGCAGTTGCGGACGCCGCTTTCCCAGAATGGAGTCACACTATCCTTCCGTCTCTGGCTCCCAGCGTTGGGCGCGTTTTCAAGGTGAAAATCCATTATGTGCATTGCACGTGTGGTTACGCCATGTATCGCGCTGAACTTTGGGGCACGACGGCAGCGCCCACGACGGCACAAACACTGGTTCCAGCACCAGATCCAACACTGGCACCAACATCAGCGCCAACGTCAGCGCCTACCCCAACGCCGACGCTTGAACCGACCCCCACATCAACACTGGCACCAACTCTGGCACCAACGCTGGTGCCAACGTCAGCGCCGACGCCTGCGCCTTCGCCGGAACCAGCCCTGGCACCAACAGTGGCTCCAACACCAGATCCAACATTGGCACCAACATCAGCGCCAACGTCAGTGCCTACGCCAGAGCCGACGCTGGAACCGACCCACGCACTAGCACTGGCACCAACTGTGGCACCATCGCTGGCGCCAACGCTAGCGCCAACGCCAGCGCCAACGACAGCGCCTACGCCAGAACCGACCCTGGCACCAACCGTGGCTTCAACACCAGATCCAACACTGGCACCAACATCAGCGCCAAGTCACCCCCTACTCCGACGCCGATGCTGGAACCGACCCCAGCACCAACACGGGTACCAACGGCGGCGTCTACGTTCACGCCGACGTCGGCGCCGACCTTCGCACCACCAGCGCAGCGCCTACGCCTTCGCCGACGCTAGAATCGACCCTGGTACCAACGTGGGCTCCAGCATCGGCGCCAACACCAGCGCTAACGCCTACCCTGGCACCAACAGTGGCCCCAACTCTGGCACCAACAGCATTCTCTCCGACGCCGGCAACGCCAGTGCCTACGCCCGCGCCTACGGCCGCATCACCTGCAGCTCAAAGTCCTCCACAGCTCCCCGAGGCACCTACTGTTGAGCCTACTCCAGGGCCGGCGTGTCCAAACACATGTTACGGTTCGACGTGCGACGAACGTATGGAAGTGGGCTTGCAGTGCTACCTTGGACTTGTGCATTGTTTCAGAGTGATGCTGGATGTGATTGTGGCGGGTGCTTCTGCCAGAAGACGGACGCTATACCCACAGATATGTTCACAGTCCGTGGCTGAAACGTTGCAGACGAAACTCTTCCATCTGACATGACGTCGTCTGGTCTCATGTCTTCAGTTGTCCACGGAACTGGTAAACTATTTGGTTTGTCTGCTGTTTTGTCAGTGCCAGCGTCTGACATTTTAATTTCGGGCTTCACCGTCAATGACGACATGCCGGGCGTCGTCTCTGGGAATATTAGCTTCACGATTCGGGTCGCCGACGAAAATGCTTCCACTATCATTTAATCCGCGCCTGCTGGAGTTGCAGCCGACATCAAAGTCCAAACTGACAATGCTCTGGCTGCCGCTGGCTGGAGTGCTGAATTTCTGGCCCACCCGCCGCTCCTATGATGGCGACTTCCGTGGTGGGCCACTCCTGGGCTGGTGACGCTGTCGGACACTGCAAAGGCGGCAGGACATGGTAGCTTTCCGGCTGATCGCGTCGAACTTGCCGAGCGTAAGGACGACGGTCGACGGAATAGAGCTCACTGTCACCAAGGTAAGCGTGAGCGATGCCATCGACGGGCGTATCCCGCTGCGAGACGTGAGCGCTGCGACTGGCGTGGGAATGAGTCTGCCCGCGTCGCTTCTTGACGCCATCGGAGTTGAGAGAGCGCTGGTCTTGGTCGCAAGCCTCCCCGCGTCGGCCGCGCCCGCGGGAGCTCCAGTCACGCAGGTGGAGGGCGCGGTCAGCATCTCCTTGAAATCTGTCGAGGACGGTTTGGCCCTGTCAGTGACAGGCCTCCCCGATCCGATTGTCATCGACCTGCTGAACGAGAGCGACGGCCTCGCTTGCGCCTATTTCGACAGAGCCGCGCTGGAATGGAGCTCCGAGGGCATGGCAACGACGCGCCGCGCTGACGGCGCGCTGCGGTGCGCAACTGCGCGCTTCACAGTTTTCGGGGCCATGCTGAAGGGCATCCTGAGTTCGCTTGAGCGCAGCCAGGCCAGCCTTCTGTCAGCAGAGTCATACGCGGAGCTGTGGACAGGCGACTGGTCGGGCTCCGCGGGCTCGGTGTTGTTGCGCGGTGTGATGTTGTTGTCGCGCGCGCGTGCGACGTCGGGGGCGAGCGGGCGGGCCGCTGGGGCACGACGGGGGCCCGTTGCCTGCCCGACGACGCGGGCGAACGGGTGCCGCGCCGAGACGGGCGCGCCCCGGGTGGCCCTGCTTGGCGCCGAGCGCGCAAGCGCCACCAAGGTTCTGCGCGTGTTTTTCTGCTTGGAAGGTCCGAGCCGCAGCGCCGTGGGTACCGAGGACCTCGCCGCGGCGGGCGCGCCTCGGGCGGCTCCGCCCCGCGCCGATCGCGCGTGCGTTGCGGAGGCGTTGCGCGAGCAGTTCTGCGAGAAATGGTCAGACGGCAGCGTCGCGACAGTGGGTGCCACGCGGTTGCAGCTGCATCGTCAAGGGCCAGCTGTGGGGCAGTTGCAGTCTGCCCGCCAGGCGGTCCAGCAGGGCGCAAAGGCATATTGTGAGGAGCTGTTGCAGGGCGCGTTCTTGGAAGTCGTCAGCATCGTCGCCAAGTGCGTCGACGGCGCCCGGCAAGCTGTCGAGGTGTTTGTCATTTTCGCACGGGAACTTCTCAGGGGCAACTTCAGCCTCGAGGATCTGGCCGAGATGCTGGCCGAGCGGAACGCGACGAACCAGGTGTTCGCGTCCCGCCTCGTGCATCCAGGCGATGTGGACTTCTTGCTCAGCCCGGAGGTCAGAGGAAGCTGGGGCCCCCCGCGCCGGGCGAGCTGGACAGCGAGGGCGTCGCGCTTCGCGCGTTCGCCGGTCTCGCTGCCGAGGGCGGCGTCGCCAAGGCCGAGCGGCGGCGCGATGTGCTGTCTGAGGTGGTCGGCAGGGCGCGGGCGGCCCGCGAGAGCTCGCCGCGGCGTCGCCGTTCCCGGTGCCACGCGGCTCGCGCGTTGATGCTGTCCTTCCTGATCAATTGTCCTGTCGGCGCGGTCTTGGGTTGGTCTTTGTGCTGAGCATCATCCTGGGGATGTCCCTAAGTGTGCTGCTGCTCGGCCGCGAGCTAATGGGGCCGTAATAGTCGCTGCGTTCTCCTTCGAGCACGGGGGGGGGCCCAGCAAAAGACTCGCCCGGGGAGTGCAGCGCGGAGCGTGGCGACCATGGCGACGACTGCGCGCGGCAGGCATCTGGGCGGTTGATCGCGGTCGGTGTGGTCTCTGCTCTCTTGGCGAGCATCCCCCCGCCCCTCATCGAGCTGGCGCGCCAGCGCCATTTCGCGCGAGTTCCAGCGGAGGGATGTCGAGAGTGGGAGCTGCAGCTGGGGAGGTGTCGCATGCGTGGCGCCCTCGTCCACGTGCTGGGCGCGCTGCGCAGTCTCTTCGCCGTGAACTACGTCGCCCTTTCTTCGCGACCGTCTCCTCCAATGACCGCGTGGATCTGCTCAGCTCTTCTGGCGTCTCCTCCGTGCAGGGGCGCCTCCTCTTCTCGCTGCTGCGGGCTCTGGCGGTGACCGGTCCGGCGCTGCGCGCGCGGCGGCGAGCGCGGCGAAGGGTGCGCGGGTGCAAGGGCGGGATCCTGAGATTGCTGGCGCGGGCGGGGTCGCTCGGGAAAGGCGTGGGCAGGCTGGCTCCGCGAACCCGCGAGAAACTTCGCGTGGCCCGGTTTTTATGCGGGTCGATTCCGCGCGCGAGTCCGCGTGGGTCGAGTTCGCGATTCGTCTCGCGGAGCGATTCAGGAACATCAGTCCGAGACGGGATATCTGATCCCGAACAAAAATACTCGTGATGTCTATCTGCTCTTGACCTGCCTTGGGGCGCTTCCTGGAGCTGTCTTGTGCTGGTCTTCGGTGCTTTCTTGGCTCACGGGCCTCACTTGGAACCTTGTTTGATGCCCCAGAAAACCATCGAACACTGACATGCGAGTAGGCAACGCACTTAAAACTTGTAGCGTGATTGAATAGTTTTGGCGTCCTGAAGGCCTCTTAGACGCTGTCTTGGATCATCTTGGGCCACCCCGCAGTGATCCTGGTGCCTTTTGGTATTGTCTTGGGGGCATCTCGGGATGGTTTCAGTGTTTTTTTTTGTTGCGATTACTGCCGGGGGCTATTCCATACTACCTCGCCAGCTGACGCCAATCTTGGAACGCTCAGTTGTCTGGCTATTCAAAGTTTAGCGCGCTCTCCCTTGTATCTGGCCTGCGGTGTAGTTTTACCAGCATGGCTAGCACAACCATCGCCATTGTTACGGTCGTTGGTCAACCCATCCCTGCTATTGCCGCTGTCGCTCCTAGTCTTATTAAGGCTCCAGCTCTGGCCCTTGTACATGCATATTTAAGCAGTCTGCATGCACGATTGCCTCTGCTGTTTCTACCTTCGGCTGCGACTACGGCTACCACGACCACTACCACGACCAATACCATTGCACGCATCATTGCAAACGCGACAGCACACCATTACTGCTATCACTCCCGCTACCACAGGCACTGGCATTGATACTGTGGCATGGTGGCAGAGTTGCGTTGTACCGATGTTGCGCAACAGCGGTGTAGCACTGTAGAACCGTAGCGCGGTGGCGTTGGCCTTGGGGCTGGCACCGGCGCTGGCGCTGGCGTTGCCGCTGCTGCTGGCATTCCCCCCTTCCCTATGCCCTCCCCTCGCACTCCCTCCGCCTTCGCCTCTCCTCCCCTCCCCTCCCTCCCCTCCCCATCCCCCCCATCATCAGATGAGCCCTTGTGCCCTTCCTCCCCGTCTCGGGGCCTGTTTGGGCCCCTCGGGGGCCCCCCCGTCCACCCCACCCCAAAACACGCCAAAGCAGCCTCAGCTGCCTCCCTCTCCTTCCCACCCCTCCCTCCATTTCCCCGCCGATGGCCGCTTCGATAACGCCCCAGGGATGCTAACTTTCGGCGGTGCCTCGATCGTTCCCCTCGCTCCGTGCTTTATAGGCCACCTTCGGGCTTCTTCTCCGGGCCACCTTCGGGCTTCTTCTCCGAGCCCGATGCAGCTTCGTAGTCTGACAAGACAACGGGTTCATTGGAGTTCCGTTCCGTTCCTCTCCTTCCTGCAGCGAAACACATATCCCGACCCTTCCCGGGGGAGGAACCCAGCAGGTTGCGCGCCTTTCCCCAACAATCCTGTGGTGTTGGGTCTTCGTTTTGAAGAGACAGTCCCCGCGTCTCCTCGTCCTCCTCCCCCTCCTCCCTCCTCCCGTCACCCCCCTCATTTTGGCACACCTCTCACACGTTTCGTGGCCCCATCGGGAGTTCCACCGAAGGCCCCAGCGGCCTGGTTCGCATGCCGCCCCCCATCCATTTTGGCACAACCCTCACACGTTTCGTGGCCCAATGGGGAGTTCCACCGAAGGCCTCGGTGGCATGGTTCGCATGCCGCCCCCGTGCAATGTGGCACACTTCTCCTACGTTTCGCGGGCCCATAGGGAGCCTGGGGAGCCCCGGTGGCATGGTTCGCATGCCGCCCCCTCTCCTCCACGGCATGCGAACCATGCCACTGGGGCGTGCGAACCATGCTCCACCGAAGTGGTTCGCATGCGCTTCCCCCACTCACTGCAGCGTTTTGGCCCCATAGGGGGCTCCACCGGGCCCCACTGGCAGTGTTCGCATGTGTTTCTCCCACCAAGCACAGCGTGGCGTGGCCCCATAGGGAGCTCTACCGAAGGTACCATTGGCGGTGTTCGCATGCGTCTCCCCCACCCAGCAGTGTTTCGTGGCCCCATCGGGAGCTCCTCCGGAGGCTCCAGTGGCGGTGCTCGCATGCGTTTCCCCCACTTAGTATTGCGTTTCGTGGCCCCATGGGGAGCTCCGGAGGCTCCAGTGGCGGTGTGCGCATGCGTTTCCCCCACGCATTACAGCGTTTCGTGGCCCTATAGGGAGCTCCACCAAAGGCCCCAGTGGCGGTGTTCGATTGCGTTTCCCCCACCCAGTACAGCGTTTCGCGGCTCCATAGGGATCTCCACCGAACGCCCCAGTGGCGGTGGCTGCGCCCGCATGCGTCCCCGCTCCATTTCGGCACACCCTTCATACGCTTCGTGGCCTCATAAAGGGATCCAGGCGATACCCACAACGACGATACTCACAACTGCATATGGTTGGGCCCTTGGCCAGTGCGCACCCTGCACCCCAACTTCAAAGCCCAACATTGCAACATCTTAATCCCGACCTTCAATGCTGAATCTCCGAAAGTACGAAATTAAGAAGCTTCCAGGTTGTTGCCAAAATCAAAATTGAAAAATCAAACTTTTCAAACTGCGAGGCTCACTGTTGAAGCTTTGGTTCAAGATTGGGGTTCAAGCGCCAATATTGAGCCAGCAAGCTCGGTACTGAAGCTCGAGTTCGATTTTGGGTTTGAACTTCAACATGGGAGTTGCAACCTCGGTCGAGACATTCTTACAACACTGGCGCCGTTGACCGAGACATCCTCACAAATTTGGCGATGACGCTCGAGACGTCCCCACAGCTACGGCGCCGCCGCCCGAGACATCCCCACACTTCGGGTGTCGCCGCTCGAGACGTCCCCACACATCGGGCGCTGCCGCTCGAGAAATCCTCGCATCTGGCACTCAATGTTAACGTCCTCACGAATTCCAGGGTTTTTGACAGATTTTGGCATGCGCGCGTGACGACGCGCGCATGTGCACTTCTTCCCGTCTGTTCCCAGGGATTCTTGCGACAGCAGTCGCGCAAAAGGGCGCACGATGGATCTCCTCGACAGGCGCGCGCGCGCGCGACTCGCACCCTTGGGCAGCATTTGATGCAAGGTTGGAGGAACCTATGATTTCTTCGAGAACTCTCAAGAGCGCGAGCGCACGTTTTTGTTGTTGTTCTATACACATAGAGCGAAAGAGAGAGAGAGAGAGAGAAATCAGGATCCGACGGCATTTTTTGAACGTCTGTTTTCGGAACACGCGTGTGCACGTCGTGCCGTTTCTTGGGCAGTAATAACTTGTTATTGCAAGTCATAAGTCGACGCCCCCAGGCGGGAGTGTCCCGCCGTCGGCGCACCGCGCGATGGCGGGCGCCCGCATGTCCACCCGCCACGCGCCGCCGCTACGTCTGGCGGGCCAGGCCCCGCGCGGGCATGCTGGCGTGCCGCGCGGCCGTGCGTCGGGGTCCTTCCTCCCTCCGCTCCTCCGTGCACGGTCGTGATGTCTCCTCTTTGCCGCCTGGCCGCGGGGCGGGATATCAAGTACCCGGTCATGTCTGCAGCGCCCCACCTGCCTAGTGTGCACTCTTAAGGTGGGGCGGCTGGCCGGGGTGTGGTCCTCTGTCTGCCAGTGTGCGGCTCTGGACCAACCCTGGGGGCGACGCGCGGGGCGTCCGTTCGCCAGAGTGCGTCGGACGCGACCGCGGTCGCGCTTCTTTCTGGTCCAGCGTGGCCCCTCGTGGGTGTCGTTGTCTAGGGCTTTTCCCTTCGGGTCCTGTGTCCCTTGGTTCACCTCGGGCCAACACCGCTGGTCCTTGGTGACCTACGCGTTGTTTCTCCACCCTGGCGGAGTCTGTTTCACGGCCCTGAGGGGCCGCGGCGTTGCTATCAAGCCCAGAGTGGCCTCTTACGTCGGCCCAGTGTGACCAACGTACCAATAGGGTTCCCCCTCGCGGGTCCAGAGCGACCCTCGTCTGGCGGCCCAGAGTGGCCATTCAGTAGCAGGGCAGCCGATGCCAGCCCGCATGTCTGGCGGCCCTAGAGCGGCCAATCTTCGATGGGGCGGCCGTTGCGGCTTGCCTGACTGCCAGCAGACCCGCGCGTCTCGCTTGGAGGCCCATAGTGGCCAATCGTTGCAAACGTTTCTCTCGCATTCCCAGTAAACAGTCGAGCGCGAGACTCGCAGCGCGCCAGACTCGCAGCGCAGAGGCAGCGAACTCCCGCCGTCGGTCGACGGTTTTTTGCTCTGGCTGCCGCAGGTTCGCAGCGGCTCCGAACGTCGGGTGAAGTCAGCGGCTTCTGCTTGTTTGCGATGGCGGAGCAGGCTGCGCAGGCGGCGCTCGTGCCGTTCGAGGCGAAAACAGAAAGGGGCTCCTTGGTGCGCACCGCGTCCCGCGCGCGGGTCGCGTACGCAGACGCAGTGTTGTCGCAGACGCGCGAGCGGCTTCGCTACCTGCTGGTTAAGGGGGTGGGCCCCAGGCTGCAGGGGCGAGCGCCAAGAGGCCCGCCCCTAGTAATGCCAGCACCACCTGCCAGCGAGAGCTGCTGGCCGCCAGTCCGACTCGGAGCAGTCGGCCCTCGGTTAGTAAGGCTGGAGCAGGTGTGGGCTGAACTGCGCTTCGCCCTGGCCCAATGCGCACCGCGTTTGCCGCGCGACGTCTGCCATGCCATAATGGGCTACGCTAAGCCCCAGATCGTCTCTGCGCCCGTGATACGCTACCGTCTAATGGACAATCCAGACAGCGGCGATGAAGCGCACTTCCGCCGGGTAAAGCTGCGAGTGCGCCCGCCAGTGCGGGTCGCGTGCGCCTAGGGCGGCGCGCGCGACCGCGACGCTTTTAACAAACGCGCGCGCTCGTGCCGTGCGTGTCGCCCCCGTGTGGATTTGCGCGCTCCCTCCCGCGACTGGAGGCCGCATAAGGGTCGCTGCGCGGGCTACTAAGTACGCCGTGTAGCGATGTCGTCTGACGACGAGGTGCCGTCAACGCAGCCCGCCTCATGTCGCGAGACGTGTCACATTGGCCTTTTTGTGTGTTCTTACTGTCGCGTGTGCGGGCGGCGGGAGCATCCAGCCCCCCAGCGCGATCGCAGCAGATCGTCGCCGCGGAG